ACACACACACACACACACACACACACACACACACAAAACAAACAAACTCGCATCCGGTTCAATAGAGTCTTTATTTTCTTATCCTTTTGTGCCAATAAAAAGATCACTCATAATTGTAGAGAATGAAATCATTTGTGTACACCACAAACAGCCCTATTATGTACATCCCCTCCTTCTGTACTGTAACAGCATGTGCAGTGGCCTTTCATTTGCTTAGCATTTCTTGAAATAAATCTTGACCTTCAGGCAGCAGATTATTAGGCGCAGCAAACAAGCATCTTACGTCTTCATAAACATTTCTCTGTGACCACATTTCTGGTTTGAAGGACAACAAAAGAACCCAAACAGGAACGGGTGTCAAATTTACACATATTTGCAAAACATGTCAATTACTGGGTGTGTTTTAGACATTTTGCATGAGCGTTAATGTGCAGCATTAGTGGAATTTGGCCATGGGATGAGCCAAAATAAAGAATTTTCTATGTACAAAATGTCATTGGGACATCTCAACATAGCTAGGTTGAAATGTGGCGTGAACCTGTTGTTAAACACGTGCTAGTCTACAATTAAAAAGGAGGTTTTGGCGGATGAGGTGCAGCAATCTTTCATTTCAAATGCCCTTTCGTAACTCTCACATTCTTATAAGTCTTTCTGTACAGAGCTTAAAACGAATGATTATAAAAGTGGTTTATAGACAAATCTCTGATTTTTAAGGCAAAGGGGTTTGACTAAAGCTTAAATGGGTTTTGTATCATAAACGTGTCTCCCAATCTTTCAGCACCTCGCGAGAGGTTCCTTAAAGCCTCAGCCGTTACATTTTGTGCATTGTTAAGCTGTAATGGATGTAGATCACCAGAGCTGCCGTAGCATCAGATCATGGCTCTCAAAAATTGCGCCTCGAGGCTGATGGGTGGTTTAAAATAACAGTGTTGTCCACCATCTGGACTGTTTGCTTTGAAAAGTCTTCCTGAGCCCTCCAATAAAAACACTTGCTTATTCATCATGACATCTTCGGCAAGGACTGAAAGCCACGTTACGCTTCTGCAGCCTTGCGTTCCGACACGCCGCGTGACATTGGAGCTAATACCAATCAATACTCTCTGAGCTGTCAACATTAAAGTGAACAAGTGAGAAGTGATTATTCTCAAACCTAAGAGATTTGTAAGTAGGGTTGCAAAGGGGTGGAACATTTCCAGTAAATTTCCGGAAACTTTCCAAAAATCCCTGGAATATTCCAAAAAAATCCTGGAAAGTTTCCAAAATTTCTGGAACGTTTCCGAAATTTACTAGAAATTTTCCACCTTTTTGCAACCCTACTTGTAAGAAAGCCGGTTTCCACCTCAGAAAAAAAAAAAAAATGTTAAAGCACAATTCTGACTTTATTTCTCTCAGTTCCAACTTTTTATTTTCTCAGAGAAAGTGTCAAAATTATGAGATGTTCATTTCGGGAAAGAAAAAGTCAGAATTGCAAGATGTCAATTTAAAATTCAGATGAAAAAACTCCAAATTCTGGGCCAAAAAAATCTGAATTGCGAGATACACACTCGGAATTCCAAGAAAAAAAACAGACTTTTTCCTTTCCTGGAATTCTGAGATATTTTTTTGAAATTCTGAGGAAAAAAAGTCAAAGCTACATGATATAAATTTGAAACTCCAAGGAAAAAAATTTGAATTGCGAGAGGTTTTAACTTTGAATTTCCGAGATAAAGTCAAAATTGCGAGATATAAACTTCCAAAATTTAAAGGAAAAAGGCCAGAATTGTGAGCTGTTAACTCAGAATTTTGTGGGAAAAAAGTCAGAATTGCGAGATACAGACTTGGAATTCCAAGAAAAAAATGGCCTTTTTATGTTCCTGGAATTCTGAGATATAAATTTGAAATTCTGAGGAAAAAAGTCAAAGCTGTATGATATAAACTTGAAATTACAAGGGAAAAAAATAGAATTGTGAGATGTTAACTGAATTCCGAGAAAAAAAGATACAGGTTTGAAAATGTCAAAATTGCGAGATATAAACTTCCGAAATTCGAAGGAAAAAGGTCATTTAAAAGATGTTAACTCAGAATTTTTTGGGAAAAAGTCAGAATTGCGAGATACAGACTCAGAATTCCAAGAAAAAATTCTGACTTTTTCTTTCCTGAAATTTGAAATTCTGAGGTAAAACTTCAAAGCTACGAGATATAAACTTGAATTTCCAAGGAAAAAAATTTGAATTGCAAGATTTTAAATCTGAATTCTGAGAAAAAAAGTCAGAACTGCAAGATACAGATTTGGAATTGCAAGAAAAAAGTCGGAATTGCGAGATCCTAACTACAAATTTAAAGATATACACTCAGACTTGCCAGAAATAAATTAAGAATTGTGTAATAAAAAAAAGTCAATTACCTTTATGTTCACATTGCGTGGTGGAAACAGGCTTCCATATACTTGAGATTCTTATAAACTGAGCTTTTTCAGGTTGCATAGCAAAACAAGGAGCGCAAAGATTGTGTGATCTGGAACTAGGAACTGCTCCTGAAACAAACAAACACAACATTTGATTTATTTACACAATTTCACTAGATTTGTATATGTTTATTTAACTTCTATTGATGTACTACCATTCAAACGTTTGGGGTCAGTAAGATTTTTCTGGAAGAAGTCTCTTATGTTCACCAAGGCTGGGTTTATTTGATTACAAAATACAGTAAAAACAGAAATACTGTGAAATATTATTACAATTTAAAATGATGGTTTTCTATTTTTATATATTTTAATAAAGCAATAAGCCCCAAGAAGCCGTGGTTTACAGTGAATTTATAACCCTAAAACCCCCTTAGCTGTTATAAATTTACTGTAAACCACGGCTTCACGGGGCTTGTTGCTTTTATAAAACGGTTATTCCATATACGTAGTAAGGTTTCACAAAATAAAACAAGAGCAAATAAAGTGTACTAATATAAATAAAAACAGTATTCTTCCGCCAAACAATGTAGTTCCTCTGAAACAGTTGTGGTTCCAAAAAAGTAGTTGCCGAGCAACACACAGAAGTAAACAAAGGTGTATGTTCGTAGTGTAATTTACAACAGCTTCGAACGCGGCTCAGCCAATCAGAATCAAGGACCGGAACTATCCGTTTTATAAAATGTAATTTATTCCTGTGACACAAAGCTGAATTTTCACCATCATTACTTCAGTGTCACATGATCCTTCAGAAATCATAATAATATGCTGATTTGCTGCTCAAAAAAACATTTCTTATAATTACCAATAATTAAAACAGTTGTGCTGCTTAATATTGATACATAATATTTTTTTCAGGATTATTTGATGAATATAAAGTTCATAAGAACAGCATTTATTTGAAATACAAATCTTTTGTAATATTACAAATGCCTTTACTGACACTTTTGATCAACTTAATGCATCCTTGCTGAATAAAAGTATTAATATATCTTTCAAACATCAAGAAAAATCTTACTGAGCCCAAACATTTGAACAGTACTGCATATGGTTTTATTCATGAAATATAGTATACCTTCCACCGCATGAAGACGTAGTCACTGTTCTTTAGTTCTTCATAGTCAAAATCATCCGAATTAAAGCTCTTTGCGTACTGATAAAATGCTTGAAACTTCCCCTGAGGAAAAAGAAGAGAAAAACATATTTTAGCAGCTCAGGTTCTACTCACATTTGAGTCATGATGCATGAGTGTAGAGCATTATGCTCACACTGAATCATGACATTATTTATTACCCAGTGTTTTCGGTCGACATCCTCATCCGCGTCCCATTTCCTGGTTAAAAAAGGCCGTTTCTTGCTTATGATCTCCCCAGCAAAGAATGTAGTAAGCGTGGGATATTCCTACAGAGAGCAGCAGAGCGGGATGAGTAATGCTTTGCCTTCAGTCAGCTTTGCTGTGATCTGATATACATTTCTGACACAGACACACTAATTATTCTCGAAAAAGATCATCAAACCAAATGAACATCAAATGAATAGCGCATCATTGTCAGTGCACTTTTTATTTGGCCATTCTTCCTCGTCTCATGACGTTTTGATGTTTTAATAGCGTTTCTTATTTAAACTTAAGTATAGCATTAAAGTTGGTTAAGTCCAATTCATTTTCATTAATCAGTTCAAAGTGTCCATTTAAAATAGCCAACTCAAAACTCTGATTTAATGGTTTAATTGCACCAAATGTTTACTGAAGTATTCATGTAGTATTTTTATATACTGGAATGTTTTAATAAAAATACTCTACTGTTCAAAGATTTTTTATTTTATTTTATGTTTTTATTTATTTTATTTTCATAAATTCATACTTTCAGCAAATTGATCAAAAGTGACAGTAAAAACATTTATAAAATTACAAAAGATTTCGGTTTCAAATAAATAAAAAAATTTTATCGAAATTAAGCAGCACAACTGTTTTCAACATTGATAATAATAAGAAATAAATTATATTTGAGCACAAAATCAGTCACCAAATGAATCAAACCAGGAGTAATGCTTGCTGAAAAATCTGATTTATAATTATGTAATAAATTATATTTTAAAACTAATTCAAATAGAAAAGAATTATTTTAAATTGTAAAAAATATTTCACAATATTAGTGAAAACTGACATGAAAATGATTCAATATCATTCTTCTCTGAAATTCTTAGGGAAAACAATGGATAACAACCATTCTTTGATTATTTTTAACTAAATTTAATTTCTTTCTTTTAAACATTTTGAATCTGCTTGTTATAGTTATAGATGGCTAGACTGGAAGAAAAAAAAAAGTATGCTTTTATGCAATTTCAGGGAAACAACCGATATCAAAATACCAATTGTCATATCTGTTTTATAATTCCTTGACACACTATAACTGAGCTGCAGATCAATAAAGCTTAGAGCATTCGGCTGTTTAAAGTGGATTCAGGCTTCTGTATCTTGATGAAATCACTATCAGTGTGAGGACAGCAGCACTTCCAAACCCACTGTGCACTGCTCCAGTATCGCAGACAAACCAGAAGACCACAAAAGCAGAAACTCTCACACAAACAAGAGTAGCTTTTGTTTATCTCACATCCTGTCATACACTGATCACCAGCTACTAAATACCACATTACAGACTTAGTAAACAGGTCACAGTATGATTATGCAGTCACACTGACCACGAGTCTGTCTCACCTCTGTCAGACCTTTGATCTTGAGGTATCCACACAGGTATGAGTCCTCCATGGTCACGTGCTGTGGGTCCAAAGCAAAGGTTTTTAATAAAATCAAGGATGAACAGAACTGCAAATGTGGGTCAGTGCAGTAACATTCAATAAAACTATTAGAAAGTGCTAACCTGGCCTCAAACATGAAGTTATGACACTCAAATTGGCAAAAATGGGTAACTGATCCATACTGACTGTAACTGAAGATTCACTGACATACAATATTAGAAATGGGAAATGTGTTTAGCACATAAATATTACACATGCAAAATTATTAGAACACTAGTATATTCACCAGCTAAAAATGGTTTCTTTTCTTTTGCTGTAGTGTGTCAGTAGGAAATATCAGTTTCCATTTCAGTTATTACAATTAATAATTCCATTACAATTAATGGCAAAATGAATGTTTGGAAATGGAAACTGATATTTCCTACTGACACACTACAGCAAAAGATAGAAATAACTGACATAAAACCATTTTTTTAGCTGGTGAAAATACTAGTGTTCTATTAATTTTGCCCACCACTGTATGTAAACTACCTAGACAGCACTTCTGGACACAAAACTACCTAGTAGACTGCCTACTTACAAACAAACAAACAAACACCATTTTAGAGCTTCGCAGTCACCGTGAACTCTACCTAGACAGCAGTTCTGGACAAACACAGTCATTTGGATTCGTAGGTGCGTTGAAATCCAGAATACTGCCTAGCTAGGGAGCTCACTCGTTGCTAAGCATACATGTTTACCTGCAGAACCACCTCGACATCATAGGAGTTTCCTTTGCTCTTCTGGTAGCCGCGGAACTGGGAGCCGCTGTAGAGCAGAGAGGTGTTGACGCCGGGCTGCTGGGTATTGATCGGCGGGGGCGGAACGAGAGAGGCCGAGGCCAAGCAGGCCAGCGGCGAGCCCTGACAGCAGTCGGTACGGACCGGCATGATCGATCGCTTCCGCGGGGCTCTCCCCGAGCTCAAGCGGCCGAGCAGCGCTTATATGACGCGCTGGAACGGGAGAAAACGCGACACTGACAGCGCGATGCGTAAGTTTCGGAGTTTCTCCCGCAGGACGCGCGGTTACGTCCCCTTCACGGCAGAATGAGGGCGCTCAACGGCGAGTCATGTGACCCAGCATGCTGGTAACTGATTGGATGACGGACGTCGAGTAACAATGACGCTGAATGCTCATTGGCTGCGTTGGGAAAAGCATGAAGGGATTTGTAGTTCTACTTGATGGAAGCGTTACTGTAGAAATATTGGGAGTCGTTAATGTTGAAGATGTGACAGCTGTTTCTAAACAACGAAATTGCCAGTTAAACATGTTTAACGGTCGTCAGTTTGTATAAATAGATAAACAGTACCATTCTTGTTGGTATTATGATATTTTTTAATGTGTGATATTTTGATAAACAAAGTACATGAAACACATGCTTCGCAGAAAGGATTGTGTTAGCTATGGGAACTTAAGTAAATTTAGATATGTGTAATTGTAATGCTACATTTGTATATATATACAACTGCCTACACCCCATTTGAGAAATGCCCTTTTATGTACAGCTCACAGTCAACAAATGGAATTGCTGTAACACTGGTACCTCCCTGTAGATGGCAGCATTGCATAAAACACACAAAAAACTTTAAAACACATTAAAACTAATGCATCTCTGTGTTTAATAAAATAATACAGCTGCATACTTGTTTACTAACAACAAAAATAGCTCAATTAGTTTACAGTTATTTTTTTTATGACTCTGACTAGAGAAACATTTTAATGGTGCTCAGACAATCGCATGTCCTCCAGCTCATCCTTCACGTAACTAACGTAGTTTCGGATCTCTGAGATGCGCTTGCGATTCCTCTTCACTTCTTCATCATGTATCTATTAACACAAACAAAAAGATTCCAACATTTACATTTTATTTAATAATAAAAAATCTTTGTGAGGACAGCTGCGTGGTAGGCTGCACTGTGACAAAACAATATAATATGATATAATATAAGAATATAGTATAATAATACTTAATATATAATTGATAAATTAGTATAATATATAATATTAAAATAAATAACATTGTTAATAAGTTCAGGCACAGGAAGTGTGATCCTGGACAACTGCATGGTAGGCTACACTATGACAAAAATAAATAAATAAATAAAATAAAAGAGCCTGTAATATAATATAATATAATATAATATTATTGTTAATGTCTAACAGCACAGGAAGCGTGTTCATTATCACATACTGATTTCAGCAGTCCGCTCATCCAGTTGTTGATCCGCGTCAGTAGCTCATCCTCCCTGTTATCAATCTTCAGCAGGTGGGTGTCATGGGAAGCACTGACTGCATTGGTCACTGTGTCTTTATCTACCAACAGCTACATAGCAGCATAAGAAATGAGGACAAAACAGCAATCAATACTAAAATATGTGTCTGGGATTCTCTTTTGTTTCCACGTTAAGCGATCAAGACTGTTTTCCACTGACCATGGCCATATCATCAGGTATTTCCTCCTCTAGCTCATTTTTGACCACCTTCTCCAGTGTTGCCAAGGCAATCTCAAGTTGTTGTTCATGGTGCTGGTTCTCCAGGTCTCGGCACTGTGCAAATGTGTGCCAGAGTCAAAGAACTATTTTTGAATAAATGTATTTGTGTGTGTGTGTGTGTTTAGGATTTGTTGACAAAAGGATATATCCCTTGCACATATTCAATAAACCCTCCAACCATGTCTGAGATGTTCCTCTCAAAGTCTTTGAAGATGTCCTTAAAAAAAGGACAAAAAATTTGTGAAACTTCTATTCGGTTATTGTTACGATATGGTCCATATATAATAATACATTAAAGGAATATTTCTCTCAAAAATGAAAATTTGCTAAAAAAATATATATACTCGCCCTCAGGCCATCCAGATCCAGATGTAGATGAGTTTGTTTCTTTACAAGATTTGGAGAAATTTAGCGTAACGTCACTTTCTCACCAGTGGATGCTCTACAGTGAATGGGTGCCGTCAGAATGAGATTCCAAACAGCTGATAAAACATCACAATAATCCACACCACTCCAGTCCATCAATTAACATCTTGTGAAGATGCATGTCTGTAATAAATAAATCAATTAAGACGTCCTCTATCCATAATATTGCTTTCTCCAATGAAAGTCATCTCGTCTGAATCAGGAGAGAAATATGCACACATCAAGCACTGTTTACGAGCGAAAACAGTCCAAACCGACATGCAGCTTTTCGCTTCACAAGGCATCAGTTGATGGACTGGAGTGGTGTGAATTACTTGTGGATTATTGTGATGTTTTTATCAGCTGTTTGAACTCATTCTGACGGCACCCATTCACTCCATTGGTGAGCAAGTGATGTAATGTTAAATTTCTCCAAGTCCGTTCAAATGAAGAAATAAACTCATCTAAATCTTGGATGGCCTGAGGGTGAGTACATTTTCACTAAATGTTTACATTTTGGGGTCAACAATTCCTGTGACAATATATGTCTATAGGTTTTTTATTCTGACCTCCAGTTGGTCCACCAGCTGCAGTTCCAGACTCATGAGGGTTTCAAAGAGCTGGTTGGCCTGCTCCTGGCAGGAACTGATGTGGTCTTCAAGTAGCTCGACATCTGTGATCTGGTGCATCTCCACTATTTTCTGCAATAGAATGGAATTTCATTTGTGAGCATTTTGTTGTGTCCAGCTGGTGAGAAATTGCTTGTATCATTTTCCCAGCTTGCCTGAGGGAGAAGAAACTAACCTGCCTCCTGGAGCTTTCAAAGTCAGCTGCTATTTGTGCTGCTTTCTGCCGATTGTCAGCAACTGCCTCACGGGAACAGGTAAAAAAGGATTCCACCTCAGCCATTCTCTGAGCATGCTGAGTCAAACCCGCATCAAATATCTGCACACACAGAGCCTCCGTTTTGTTCTTAAATGTACATGGATTGTCAAGGTAAATGGATTGTTTTGAGGCCTTTTAGTATTTTTAATAGCAGATCTATTGTATTTGGCATTCCTGACAAGGATATGACTCAATCAATGCTTCCATTCCAGGGAGGAGAGCCAGTTTCTCCCCATCAGGATCTTCATCAAACATGCTGTTAAAGAGCTGAGGTCCATTCAAGAACTCCACGAATGCATCCTGTAAAAGAAGGAAGCAATATTTATTCACCAGTGTGAAGAGTATATATTACCTAGGCTAGTCCGGTAGAAAAAGAGGGACTTCAATACAGTAAATGTGTAAATCTGAATTATGAATCCTAGAACATTAAAGGCCTTTATCTAAATGGTAATGGTGGTCACCTTGTGCAGCTGAAGCTCCTCGTTGCTGATCTTCTGAGCCTCCATTGCCTGCTGTTTCTGCAGCTCAGTTTGTTGCATTCCCTCAATTGCATACTTATACTTTGTATTGGCAGTTTCACGCTATATATGTAAATACATGTAAAACACATTAATTATAAACAGAACTAAAATATAATAAGAATAAAAGAGCAACATTAGGACAAATGTTATCTGTCCCTTGTGCTTAATTGTACTGAATGTGTACTTCTAGTGTACTTCAAAAATGTACTTGCAGATAAAATATTAAAGGGGTCATATGATGTTGCTAAAAAGAACATTATTTTGTGTATTTGGTGTAATGAAATGTGTTTATGTGGTTTAAGGTAAAAAAAAACACATTATTTTCCACATACTGTACATTATTGTTTCTCCTCTATGCCCCGCCTTTCTGAAACGCGTCGATTTTTACAAAGCTCATAGGTCTGAAAAGCGAGGTGTGCTCTGATTGGCCAGCTATCCAGTGCGTTGTGATTGGTTAAATACCTCAAGCGTGTGACAGGAAATGTTACGCCCCTTACCATATTGTGATGCCCTGTCCGGCCGGAGCGACGAGACAAAAACATTCAAACCCATTATAAACGAGGCATTTGTTGCATCCAATGGGCATTCAGCGGGCTTGCGGCAACCACATGTGACGACCCTGGGCTGGACTCCGCTTCGGATCAGGATCACGGATCAGCTCCAGGCATGACGAAGCGGATATCGTCCTCTTTTGGAAGACCAAAGTAGTTTCGCTTTCACAACGAAACACACAGCTCTTCACGACATGGCGGCGGCGGCAACAATACTACAGCGAGAATAAAAGTTACGCCTTCTTTCTTTGCGTGAACATTTGGGCGGCGTTATGCAAATCTTCCCACATTGGGACGTAGACATGTGGGGGCGTGTTAAAAGGAAAAATTGAAATCGCATCATATGACCCCTTTAATTAAAAAGGCCATTGTACTCACAGAGAGTACACCTTCATGACTTACAGAAGTACACTTATTTTGATGTTTTGACTACTAAAGTACTTGATTAGAATTTGAACTGCAGTGTGTTATTTTATATTAAACTTAAGTTAACATTTTAAATAAATGACAACTTCATTACAAATGTGTAATTAAAAAGTATTTACATTACATTCAGTTCACACTTAAGTATGTTCTTTCAAAGTTAACAAGTACTCTTGTAAAAGTATGCTAGTGTGCTTCCTTTTCACGGGAGATATCCAAAATTAAGCCAAACAACCACAATAATATGCAGGTCTTATAAAGCAGTCAAAAAACTAGAAATGACTAATTAATGTCTTCCTTACCGTTTGTTCATCCAGCAGTCTGTAGTCCAGATAAACTAAGTCTGGAAGATACGCTGTCACAAATGTCTTGTACCTCTCTTCCTCACAGATGGGGTTTCCCGCAAGATTGAGAGTGCGTAAATTCTTAAACTTTCTTAGGTATAACACCTGCGGGATTAGATACGAGTTTCTTCAGCTTTATGTTTGAGTGACGTTCATGGATTAATTAAATTAATTGGATAAGTGGATAGCTGCATACAATGAAATCAGACACGCTTTATCACACAAGCGTATCATTTAAAATACAGTTGGCTTACATTTTCAAGTTGAGCAATTGCATTGTTTCCAAAAGAGAGGATGTGCAGGTCTTGCAGCGCGTCCAGGTTTTCAATGACAGAAATGCGGTTGTTGAATAAACTCAGGTCCTGAAGTTTCACAAGAGAGTCCAGTCCTTCAATCACTTCAATATTATTAAATGACAGATCTGAGGAA